AAAAATATTTTTACCTATCTGACAAAATAGTAGGTATAATTTTGATTCCTTCACACCGGACAGCTATTTGTTGTGCTGGCTCTTGGGGGTGTGTGTGTGTGTGTGTGTGTGTATTTTTTTTTACAATCTAAGGGAAAAGAGATTAGTGCCCCTGACTAAATAGTCAGGCATTGCATGTTTTAAAAATCCCTGCGGCACACCGGTTGAAATTGCTGCTTTGGAAGCCTGCAACAAAGAGGGTTTGGCCTCTGATTCCATTGGTGGAGCCAAAGAGTCTGCATTTCTAACAAGCTTCCAGGTGATCCTGACACTGCTAGTCTAGGGACCACACCTTGATTAGAAAGCTTTATATATGTCAATTACATCTCAATAAAGCTGGGGGTGGGGTGGGGAGAAGGTTTAGAGGCTCAGAGATAAATCAGATCTGGTCTCAGATATCCCAAGAGTCTCAGGAAAAGAGACTCTTCCACGTATAAAATCAGTCAACCGCAGGTAAGGCCAGGCGACAGGAGTAGTGTGTGGGGATGCTTCTTGGAGAGGTGGGATCTAAAGGGATCTTTACCAGGGAAAGATTGCTCTGAGGATCAGCTGGGGACAGCCTTTCTGTGCCAGCGTGCCTGGCACCTGCACCGCGTCTGCCAACCCAGAAAAACAACCTGGTTAACATTGATAATGACTGACTCAGGGCAGCCCCAAAGATGCCAAGCAAGGTGACTGTAAAATAAAGGAGTAACGCCCTAGCTGGTTTGGCTCAGTGGATAGAGTGTCAGCCTGCAGACTGAAGAGTCCCAGCTTCGATTCCGGTCAGGGGCACATGCCTGGGTTGCGTGCTCGATCCCCAGTAGGGGCATGCTGGACGCAGCCGATCAATAATTCTCTCTCATTATTGATGTTTCTATCTCTCTCTCTCTCTCTGAAATCAATAAAAATATATTTTAAAAAAATAATAAAATAAGCGAGTAACATTTCCAATCAACCCAGAGTCACTTAATTGATTCACTAAGTACAATCAACTTCACCTCTTAAAAAGAGCTCTTCTACTGATCTTTGCAAAATGCAGACTTTTCCAGAAAAAAACGAACGTCTGAATCACCACCCAGTCACAGGCCCTTGTGCTTGGGTAGGATGGGAAGAGAAAGGGACCTCATTGGCCCCATTTTATAGAAGAGGAAACTGAGGCTCAGGGCAGTCAAATGGCTTTGCCAGAGGCTACCCAGTAAGACAGGGGTGGGGAATGTCCTGCCCGAGGTCCCTATAAGGCCCTATACAGTCCCTAATGGCCCAAGGCATTAGGGGTGACTTAATTAAATGTTTGCTCAAATATAGCGGGTTCATTTTTAAGTTGATAATTGTGTATGGCCCAAGAATGAGGTAAATAAATGTTGTAAATATCCAAATGGCCCTTGGCAGAAAAGTGTCCCCACCCCTGCAGTAAGGTCAACCACTGGAACCCCGGATCCTCACTCTACACAGCATTCATGAGTACTCCTGTGATATCGGCTGCTGCTGAGTCCATAAAACAGGCCTGGAAGGCAGGGTCAAGGGAACCTGGGAGTCTGGGGTCCAGGCCTCCCCTTCCCTGCACAGTGGCCTCAGGCTGGGAATGCTGCCAGCATCCAGGGAGGGTGAAAGCAGCTTTCACAAAGCAGGGTCTGAGGCCCTCAGACAGGCCCCCTTTGTCGACTTCCTCTCCCTCCCCACCCCCATGCTTATTGCCTTTAGCATCATCCTCTTTGAATGGCTGGCTCCCACACACTGGAAATTTGCAACACAAATGCTCGACTTGTCTCTCCGTGGAGCCCCACTGCCCTAGCCTTTTGGGGCCTTTTAAAGCCTGCCTTTCTCTGGAGCGCTTTCTTTCCACAGCTCAAGCCCCCAGCCCCTAGCTAATTAACGCTGGGTTAAACCTCGTCCTGGGAAGAGAGCTGGGTGGCAAGTGAGGCGAGGCGTTCCCACCGCCTCTCAAGGGATAAGGACCTGGTGGCAGGAGTTGGAGGAGGCTGGGCTCTTACCCTCAAGGTTCCTTCTGGCTTCCTCCCTCCATCCTCTTCCCCAATGGGTTTGGGGATTTACTGCAAATAAAGCTTGTCACCCAAGATGGCTCCCAGCCCTCCTTCCCACTGGCTTCCAGAGCTCAGCGCTGATCATGAGAACTAGAGTAACACATACCATTTGCCAAACATAGCAGACACTTCACATGCATATTTCTTTTTTAAAAAATAAGTTTTTATTGATTTCAGAGATAGGAGGTGAGAGAGATAGAAACATCAATGACGAAAGAGAATCATCGATCAGCTGCCTCCTGCACGCCCCCCACTGGGGATCGAGCCCACAACCCCGGCATGTGACCTGACCGGGAATTGAACCACAACCTCCTGGTTCATGGGTTGACGTTCAACCACCGAGACACACTGGCCAGGCTACATGCATGTTTCTGATCCTCACAATAACATGGGGAGACAGGTATTAGCACCCCCATGCACAGATGTGGTAACAGAGGCTCAGAGAGGTTAAACACCTTGCCATAATCAAACAGCTTGCAAGTGACAGCTGAGTTTCAAATCCAAATCCATTTGCCACCCAAACTCATGCCTCCTGTTTTAGGCTTTTCTCTGCTCCTGTCTAATGCTCTCCCAGCTTCACTGTGTCTTTGCCCTTCTCTCCGTTCCTTTGTCCCTCTCTGGGTTTACCTGCCCGAGGTAATTCCTCAGCTCCTCACGTGCCCGCCTCCTGAAGCTCTCTGAAACCAAGCGCTTGCCACTTTCCTCTTAGCACACAAGAAAATGCCACTCAGGGGAGAGAAGGCCCACCCCATCCTCCTGATAGCAGAAAGGGACCAGGTCTTCTGGAGATGGACTCTATGTGCCTAAGGAGGTGCTTAATAGGTGTTTGTGGGATGAGGAAATTAATGCTTATTTAAGAACTGGTGGGGTGGCTCTTTAGCACTATCTGTGGGGAATGTAAATGGCACTGCCACTTTGGAAAATAGTTTGGCTGTCTCTTAAAAAGTTAAATCTTCACTGACCCAGCAATTCCACTCCTAGGTACCTACCCACAAGCAAAGAAAGCATATGTCCACACAAAGAACATACATGTTCATAGCAGCATTATTCATAATAGCTTCAAACTAGAGTCAACCTAAATGCCCAGCAGAGTGAATGGGTAAAAAACTGTGGTACATCCATAAAATGGAATACTACTCAGCCACCAAAAGGAACTTATTACTCACACATGAGGCAACATGGATGAATCTCAAAAACATTAGGCTGAGTGAAAGAAACCTAACACCAAAGAGGAGATGCTATGTAATTCCATTTCTGTGAAATCTCTAGCAAAGCAGGGGCAAAAAGCAGGTCAGTGGTTGCCTGAGTCTGGAGACAGAAGTGAGAATTGACACCAAATTGGCTGAAGGGAACTTTGGGGGCGATGGAAGGTGTTCTAAAACAGGATTGTGGTGATGGTGGCACAGCTATGCAAACTTACGAAAACTCAATGAAACAGCTTCAAACAGTGGCTTTTATGGTATGTGAATTATTCTTCAATAAAACTGCTAAAGTTCTTTTAAAAAAAAAAAAGTAGAAGAAGAACTAGTGGACCAAGGAAGGACCTTGGGAGATCATCGGGTTGGTATGGGGCACTGCAATGGAAGTCAGAAACCTTTGTTTGAGTCCTGACTCTGCCACTGCCCAGCTGTGTGACTGTGGATAAGTGGGTAACCTCTGTACTTCTGTTTCCTCATTTATAACAACAACAACAATAGCAGTGATAAGAGCTAGTTTATGAAACCGACTCGGTGCCAGTCTTATACTGTATGAACTGTTACATTTAATCTTTACCCAACAGCCCATTTCACAGATGAGAAAACTAAGATCAGGCATGAAGTCCTTAGTGTCATATCTGCCACACTGAATTCTGATTCCTATGGCAACTCCTTGTGTCCTACATCTGCACTCTGGCCTGGTGTCCATTCTGGCTCTAGGTGGTCCCCACCTTGCATTTGCTGAGATAATGCCATACTTCCCAGCTGTATAAGAGAGCCCACTGGCCTGGGGGCTGCCAACAATTCCAGCTGCCACCTGCTGCTGTGACCCATCAGCCCACTCTTAATCCCTGGCGATCTGGCCTGACCACTTTGTCTCCAGACTGGCAGAGTGACATGCCATTCAGTCCCTGCTTTTATGGGGGAACACCCCATGTTTTCTCTGCACCAAAAACATGGCTCAGTGCAGGCTAAAAAGCAGGACCATCAAATATCATTGCTAGGAGGTTCCTTCAGAAACCACTGGTTCTAACTGTGACCCAGAGAGGTGTCTTAGGTGCAGGCAAAGGGAGTCTCCACTCCTCCCTCTTCAACCAGAGCAGCCCAATTCATTTTTAAAATTTGTTTTATATACTGCACCTCCATAGAAGATTTCCAAAGAAAGGGATATGTTACTTTTTTTAAAGTTTGGAAGTTGCTGTTGTCTGCCACCTCTGGACTTTCCAGGTATAGAAACTGAGGCCTGGAGGGTAGAAATAACTTGCTCAGGTCACAGAGGTCGTGATTGACAGATACAGGCGGGTCAGCAGGTCTCTGTGTGTGAAGCTTAGAGCCCTCCACAACAGCCAACAGGAAAAACAGTGTCTCTGCCTCACACTTTCATGTCATTTTTTCAAGGATCCTTTAGCTATAGGCTAGCGAAATCTGGAAGCACAACAACTCTCTCAGGATTTTCCATCCCTTTCCTCTCACTTCACACAGCTCTGAGGCAACTACCAATTTGGCTGCCTTGACACATGTGGGCGGATGCTCCCCGGGCGAGCTGCCTCCACCAGCCTGGGACCACAGCAAGTGTAAGTCAAATAGAGGGAAATCTTGATAATTGGACGACAAGGGAGATGGCGAACAACTTTCCTACTAAGGAAAGAAAAACACTCATCTATAATGTTGACTCCCCTAAAGTAAAATAAAGTTGCACACGGACGAAACAAAAGCATACGAACTTTTTAAGAGGCACCTTGATCTCAGAAGGTAAACGAGCCCTTGGTGTTTTCACTGGAAGGAGTCCTCCAATTATTAGAGTAGCAGTACCAGACTCTCTGTTCTTCTTGGAATCATATTCTAACTTTGTGCTCTGTCCACTCGCTCAGAGAAAAAGGGATAGTCCAATCTGAGTCTCAGTTTGTAAGGGGCAAACCTCTTTCCCCTGTTAGGGCTTGTCAGTGTGATGCTAAAAATGGTCCTTTGGTTGACTTGTGAGTAATTGATTCTCTGACGCTGACAACACTTAGGAAAATGAAGGTATAAATGATGGCAGTGCCGCGCAGCCACCGAAGCAAACGGCGAGCTGAGGGCCGTGGAACTGGAGCAGCGCCTCATAGCAGAGGGAGACCTGCCACATCACAGGTGAGAGGGGGGGTGTTCCTAGGGGCTGGGCTGGAAGGGAGCATGAAAGTTGACCTTCTCACCAACTCAGAAGCACCAAGTCAAAGAGGCCTACCGCCATCCTCTTGGCCGTGGTCTGGTGAGTACATTGAGGCCCCTCGTTAGGGGATCTGGAACACGCTTCTGATGGTTGGCACCACACTGAGGTTGCCTGGGACGTGCGGCATCCCAACCCATGGAGAAGCGGCCGGCAGACAGACATCTTGCAGGTGTCTGTGGAGGCGGGTGAGGTCTCCGTGCTCCTTTGAGTGTGTGTAGGCAGGCTTCTGCGGCAAGACGTGGGCTGGCTAGATTCTCCTGTCAACAACAGGATTCCGTATGGGTCGGAAAGGAGCCAAGTGGCGGTGCAAATCAATACCGCGCATCGATCGCTCAGAACCGATTCAACATAATTGCCTGGAAATTGATAACATTTCGCTTTCTTGCTCAATTGCAGCCGCAATCATTCCTCTGGGTTTTAGACACAATTACCTGCCCTTGGAGCGCTCCATTACCCTCATGCTTATTTCCCGATCTTTGCTTTAATGGTCTTGAAGTATTTGTGTCTTTCATCATAAGCCACCTCAAACCCTTTCTGAAAGGAGGTGGGGGTGTCACTCTCTTGGGTGACAATTCTAGACAATTCCTCGTGAAAAGCGTAGATTTCCTAAGACTTGGAACACTATTGGTGAAACAGTTTATAAACTGGACGAGGGTCCTTAAAATACAAAGAATATTAAGAAAGGTAAAAGGCCCTAGTTGGTGTGGCTCAGTGGATAGAGCATCGGCTTATAGGCTAAAGGGTCCTAAATTTGATTCCAGTCAAGGGCATGTGGATGTGGGTTCAATCCCCAGTGGAGGGGGCATGCAGGAGGCAGCCCATCAGTGGTTCTCTCTCATCATTGGTGTTTCTGTCTCTCCCTCTCCCTTCCACTCTGAAATCAATAAAAATATATTTACAAAAAGAAAAAGAAAAAGAAAGGTAAAAGATTTTCTCCTTAGATGTTGAAAAGTGGCCTTGCTAGTTTGGGTACTTGAGACCTGACCTCTGTCGTTAGCTGAAGGCACTTCTGCAGAATTCTCACGGCATCTGTGGCATGAAGGCTGGCGAAAGGTGGCACCTGAGGTTGACAAGTGCCCATTTACCTGATCCAGACGAACTCACATATATCTAATCCCAGAATTGGTTTGTAAGCAGTGCGGAAAGCTAACTGATCCTCATAATGACAGATAATAAACTCTAAAATGCTTTGGAGACATCAAGGAGTTGTCGATGATGTTGTTGGATTCGTGCTACACTTAAATCAGTGAATTCTAGCTCTTTAGACTGATCATGTGGAATGTGTCTGTCAACAGCTATTTTATCCTCGGTGATGCAACCTCTATGCTACTCTTAGCATAAGCTGGGTTCTTACTGTTTCCCATCTCTGTCCAATGGGATTTTCAACCCCATGGATTGGGTTCTCACAGCTCAAAGGGCACAGTGGTGTCTTGACCCATCCCTGGGGCACTTGGTTTATGGCAGATGCTGTGCCACTTGGTTGACCAGACTACATAGTTGCTCATTCTGAATGAGCAAGGGGTTACTGTGTTTACTATGACTTGCCCCCCAAAGTCTGCCCTCTTATCAGGTTATTTTCTACTCCCTAAACCAGGGGTGGGGAACCTTTTTTCTGCCAAGGACCATTTGGATATTTATAACATCATTCATGGGTCATACAAAATTATCAAGTTAAAAATTAGCCTTCTATATATTTTTTAAAATATATTTTATTGATTTCAGAGAGGAAGAGAGAGGGAGAGATAGAAACATCAATAATGAGAGAGAATTATTGATTAGCTCCCTCCTGCACACCCCCTACTGGGGATCGAGACTGCAACTCGAACCCAAGTATGTACCCTGACAGGGAATCGAACCGGGACCTCTTGGTCCATGGGATAATGCTCTATCCACTGAGCCACCATAGCCGAGCCTGCTATATTTGGTCAAACATTTAATTAACTTACCCCTAATGCCTTGGCAGGGCCAGACCAAATGATTTTGTGGGCCTTTTATGGCCCATGGGCCGGACGGTCCCCACCCCTGCCCTACACCATTGAGTGTAAGGACAAGCCAACCAAGCAAGTGTTCCTGTTTGTCCCCCCTTTCTTCCCCAGAGACCAGTGATGAAGGGCAAAAGCTTTCCGTTTCCTCAGACCCCTTTCCCACGTGCAGGTGATGAATTCTGAAGTGCCCCATGAATGGAGAGCGCTGTGAATAGGGTATTGTATCTGGGAGGCTGCCCTGCAGAAAGGAGGAAATCAGGTGGCCTGGGAATTGCGAGGGCCATTCTGAAGTGCGCACACTGAAACTAATTTGATGGAGAACCATAGGTAAAGGCCCTCTCCTCTCTGGGCTCATTTCCTCAGCTATAAAATGAAGATAGCCCCAAAGGGGAAGGGGAAGGTGGGCTGGGCAGGCCAGGAGGGCACAGGGGCTGAGAATCACTTGTGCCAGCCCCTGGAGAAGGGGCAGGAGGTGGGGAGACCAAGGGAGGGCTTAGGCCAAGAGCAGGAATTTTGGCTTATTCTGGAGGGAGTGGGGCGGGGGAGACTTCTGTGCAGGCGAGTGGGATTGTTAGGAGGATAGATGTGCTCAAGTCTTTAAAAGATCAGCAAAGAGCCCAGCTGGCGTGCCTCAGTGGTTGAATGTCAACCTATGAACCAAGAGGTCACGGTTCGATTCCGGGTGAGGGCACATGCCAGGGTTGCAGGCTCAATCCCTAGTGGGGGGCGTGCAGGAGGCAGCCAGTCAATGATTCTATGATCATTGATGTTTCTATCTCTCTCTCCCTCTCCCTTCCTCTCTGGAATCAATAAATATATTTTTTAAAATATAAAATAAATACATAAAATAAAAGATCAACAATGAAGAGGAAAGCCCAGGCTGAAGCTGGGAGACAGGAAAGGCAGTGGTTGTGTCAAGGGGCTCTCCTTGCCTCCAAACATCTCCCTGCTCAGGAAACTCTGGAGATGGACTCAGGTTAGGAAAGGGGGAGCCACATGGAAAGTGTGTTGAGGACAGAACACTGAAGGTCCTTGCTTTGGGGATCAAAGGTCTAAGTGAGAAGCAAAACACATCCAAGGGGCTTGTCTCGTGGATGAAGGTGCAGGAGCTCTGGGTGGCATGGTAGGTGGATATCAAGGGGCAGCCCTCGGGGGCAGATGCCCTGTTCTCATCTTTTCTCTAGCCCAGTCCTTATCAGAAGCTTAGCAAGTATTTGCAGGATAAGGAAACTTGGACTTGACACGATGAGAAAAACTTCCTAACAGGAAGAGCCACCTGGAAATAGGACAGACTTGCTTAGAGGTAGTGAGTGTTTGAGCAGGAACTGGAGGGTTGTCTGGAGTCGGGTGGAGGGAGGGTACACATCAAGAAAGGGCTGAAGACAGGCCTGGATGGTGGCTCCCTCCAGCTCTGGGGGTGTGGGGATCCGCCCGCATTGAGCTACCCCATCGTGCTCCCTTGGGTCTCAGGGTACCCCTGGGTCAGGACCCAGTGTCTGGGAGAAGGGGGATGATGCCCTGAGAGGGCAAGTGAGCCCAGGAAAGGAAGGTGGACCCTGCCAGGGCTGAACCGGCTTGTGTGAAATGGTTCCGAAGCAGGACCAGGGAGCAAATCGAGCAATGTGGGGTAATCGTGAGAAAGGTAGGGTCCTGCCTTTGAGGGGGTGGGGGGGCAGGTGGGGGCTGGTGAGGCTTCTGGATGGGTTTGTATCCCCATGGAGTGGATATCCTACTGAAGTCGGGGGAGGGAGCCATGGGAGATGGAAAGACCCAATTCCTTGGTGGCTGAGTCACACCAGGGCAGGACTGGGTTGACAACGGAGGCACCTCCCCCCCCCTGCACCTCCCCCTCAAAAAGAGGAGGGCTCTTTCCCTGTTGACAATTCTTCCTCTAATTGCAGAGTAGGTGTCAGCAGGGCCCAATTAAGGGCAATTATGTGATCTATGAGATACTTCTGCTGCACAAGCTCCCCAGGCTCCTTGGTCTCTTTCAGGACTCAAACTCTTCGGTGAAATCTAAGCATCTAGAGCAGCGGTTCTCAACCTGTGGGTTGCGACCCCTTTGGGGGTCGAATGACCCTTTCACAGGGGTCGCCTAAATACATCCTGCATATCAGATATTTACATTACGATTCATAACAGTAGCAAAATTACAGTTACGAAGTAGCAACAAAAATAATTTTATGGTTGGGGGTCACCACAACATGAGGAACTGTATTAAAGGGTCGCGGCATCAGGAAGGTTGAGAACCACTAGTCTAGAGTAAGATTTATAGACTTCCCTTCCCTCCAACTCCACAGAAAAACAAAACAGCCCATGCCTAAAGAGACTACCTGAGCAGGTCTAATATTAGATCAGCAAAGCAAAATTTTGTGGTGAATTCCCCACACTACAGGGGCCTTGGTTCATCAAATGCTCACAAGGACCCTATGCAGTAGGTAGAGTTATCAATTCCATTTTATGGATAGGAAAACTGAGCCCCAGAAAGGAGAAGTCACTTATCCTGGGATGCACAGCTAGTCATGGCAGAGCCTGAATATGGACTCAAATTTGTCTCACTCAGAGACTGAGCTGTTAACCCTGCTCAGTACTGTCAGTGCCACACAGGGGGGTGGGGAGTGACTTAGGAGAGACTAAGGAAAGGTGATTGCTCTTCCCCTATCCCTTGCTGAGGCTTGAATTCCACGTATAATGCCTTACAGCAGTGGTTCCCAACCTTCTGGCCCTTTAAATACAGTTCCTCATGTTGTGACCCAACCATAAAATTATTTTCGTTGCTACTTCATAACTGTAATGTTGCTACTGTTATGAATCGTAATGTAAATATCTGATATGCAGGATGGTCTTAGGCGACCCCTGTGAAAGGGTCGTTCGACCGCCAAAGGGGTCGTGACCCACAGGTTGAGAACCGCTGCCTTACAGGAAGGGGTAGTTCACCATTATTTTTAATTTTCTGTTCAACCCTATGAGGTCAGCAGGATAGCTTTATTATGCCCATTTGACAGTGATGCAATGAAGCATAGTAACATTCATCTCAGGTAAAAACTGCTGTTTGAATTTTAACCCTGCTATTCTGGCTTCTGTACACACCTGCTTGCTTAAACAATAGGGTAGTTACCTCACTTTCCAGATTGAGACCCAGAAACTCACATAAATCACCCCATTATGTTGCCAGCCCACATCACAAAGGTTATTCTCCTGTGTCTGAGGACCAGAACCACAAAATTGCTTTCCTTAACTCAGTGGCTCTAGGAACTGAAACTATAGATAACCTTTAGAGATTATTAACTTTGCTCAGTTTTGCTTCTGTAAAACTGCTTTTGCAAGATAATTCCACATTCCAATGTCTAGCAGGATGTGGTTTTTGCCTTTATAAGCTAGCTACTGCTCTCCCTCAGGCACTACGAGATTTAGAGAGCATTTGCCCCCTCATAGCCGCCAGCTTTGAAATAAATGTGGCTCCTTAATTCGACTTCTTGAGGCATCCTTGTGTGATTCGTGGGGTACACTACAACATTTGGAGGCCCCAGCGAGATCCAGCCATTAGGGGGCACTGGTTCGGACACCGAGGGAGGCCAATCTTCCCTGAGCAGGTCGCAGTACAAACGGCTCTGCCAGACTTAAAGGACGTCCCGCTATCATCACCAGATGAGGTACTGTTCACAGAAGGAGCAGCTATGTTCAGGATGGAATCCGGTATGCAGGGGGCGGTGGTAGTCACTCTGAACCGCACTATTTGAAACAGGGGGACTTCAGCACCAAAACCTAAACTTTTGGCCTTGATCCAGGCCCTCCGATGGGGACACAGTGCCATCTACCAGGAAAGAGGGTTACTAACTTCAGCTGGAAAGGACATTAAAAATAAGGCTTAGCCTTATTAGAGGCCATCTGGCTTCCCAGAGAAGTTGCAATAGTGCACTGCAAAGGTCATCAGAAAGGGGAAACAATTGAAGCCTGAGGTAATCGTGCTGCAGACCAAGCTGCCAAGGAAGCCGCCCAAAAACCAGTGGGGCCTTTACAAGTCTTACTAACCCTGCCGGACCCAGATCTACCACAAACCCCCTCTTACACCAAACAAGAGGAGGAATTGGCAGAACAGAAGCAAGCTACCAGAGGACCAAATGGTTGGTGGACTCTACCAGATGACAGACTGCTGGTCCCAGAGGCTCTACGTTGGACAATAGTTGCCCAGTTACACCAGGCTACCCACCTAGGCATCACCAAGACTTCTGAACTTTTGCGAGGGAGGTACTACATACCAAGCTTAGATAAGATAATTAAAAGCATAGTCACTAGATATACTGTCTGTGCACAGGTAAATGCTAAGCAAGGTAGGGGGGTTCCCCTGGGAATTCTGGCCTGGGGAAACTCCCCAGGAGAGCATTGGGAGGTAGATTTCACAGAGCTCAAGCCACCGGTGGCAGAGTATAAGTACCTGCTAGTTTTTCTAGACACCTTCTTGGGTTGGGTTGAAGCATACCCCACTAAGACAGAAACTGCCTCTATAGTGGTCAAGAAATTACTCCAGGAGATTATACCTAGATTCAGGCTACCAGCAGTCATAGGATCAGATAATGGCCCTGCCTTTGTAGCCAAGGTATCTCAAAGTATAGCTCAAGTCTTAGGCATAAATTGGAAACTCCATTGTGCATACCAGCCACAAAGTTCAGGACAGGTATGAACAGGACTCTAAAAAGGACTTTAACTAAATTTATCCTAGAAACCAGTGAAAACTGGACCAACCTCCTGCCCTTCGCCCTCTTATGGGCCAGGTGTACCCCCTACCAGGAGGGGTTCTCCCCCTTTGAAATCATATTTGGTAGACCTCCTCTTAACCTACCCAAGGTTAGGGAGGAATTAAAAGCTGAAATTCATAACCATTCCTTGCTCAAGTCCTTACAGGCTCTGCACTATACCCAGAGAGTCACCCATAAGCTTGTGTGAGACGCCTTGCCAGTGCCAACCTTGGGCCCTATACATCCCTGCCAGTCTGGAGACTCGGTGTGAGTAAAGAAGTTCATGACCCAAGGACTAACCCCAACTTGGAAGGGACTATACACTGTTATCCTGACTATGCCCACAGCTGTTAAGGTTGACGGCATTCAGACCTGGCTACACCACTCCCAGCTCCTACACCAGGAAACGGCCTGGATCTTAGCAGCCAGTGGCCTCACCTGTGAGATCCCTAGCCTGGGCTCCACGCAGGCCAGGAGGAGGCTGGACACCTGCAGGAGGGGAACTGGGCCTCAATGAGGACAGTACTGATGGGGGCTGTGGCACTAGGGGCCTTGGTAACTGTAGGAACATTTTTTGCTAGCAAATGAGAAAGTCCAGGGCCAAATAGGGCTAGATGTGCTAGGGGACAGGAGAGCAAGAACAGAACAGAGAATGCCCTTGAAAGAAATAGGATGAGTAAATAGAAAACTAAATGTGCCAAGCAGGCAGCTAGAAAAATTAATTCAGTCAAACTACTTGTGGTTAGGGGGCATTACAATCCCCTAACTAATGAAGATGAGTCCATGATTTGACATGTACATAAAACCAGTGGAGAATGAAGCAATGAAGCATAGTAACATTCATCTCAGGTAAAAACTGATGTTTGAATTTTAACTCTGCTATTCTGGCTTCTGTACACACCTGCTTGCTTAAACAATAGGGTAGTTACCTCACTTTCCAGATTGAGACCCAGAAACTCACATAAATCACCCCATTATGTTGCCAGCCCACATCACAAAGGTTATTCTCCTGTGTCTGAGGACCAGAACCACAAAATTGCTTTCCTTAACTCAGTGGCTCTAGGAGCTGAAACTATAGATAACCTTTAGAGATTATTACCTTTGCTCAATTTTGCTTCGGTAAAACTGCTTTTGCAAGATAATTCCACATTCCAATGTCTAGCAGGATGTGGTTTTTGCCTTTATAAGCTGGCTATTGCTCTCACTCAGGCGCTACAAGATTTAGAGAGCATTTGCCCCCTCATAGCCGCCGGCTTTGAAATAAATGTGGCTCCTTAATTTGACTTCTTGAGGCGTCCTTGTGTGATTCGCGGGGTACATTACAACAACAGATGGAGAAAATGAGGTCAGAACTTGTGACTGGCAGAGGCATAACTTGAACCCAGGTCTGTCTGACTTCCAGAGTCTGGGTTCTTCTTCCTACCCCACTCTTCCAAAGGACAAGGACCAAGGCTTGCACGAAGCCAAGTCTAGGGTTGGGCCCAGCCAGCAAAGGGCATCCCTGTGACTATGGCTACATCTGACCTCCCCTCCTATCGCTTTCCAGGTGCCACCACAAGGGTGAAGGATGCCGCTCTGGGTGTTCTTCCTCATGGTCCTAACTCTCAGTGGTGGCTGCCACTGCTCCTCACACTCCCCGACCCTCAGGTAAGCAGTCCTGCCAACAGGGCCTGGATTTCCGCCACCCCAAAACCATACCTGCTGGAGGAGGGGTGCTTAGAGGATGCAGAATCCAGCCATCAGCTGGCCTCAGCCATCTCCTCAGGCAGCCCCCACTGCCATCTCTGGGAGGGGGACAGACTCTGAGCTCCAAAGAGGTTGGCTAGCCCAGGTTCCAACTCTCTCTGGGGATGAACAGGGAAAAGGGCAATACAAGGACCTAACAGAGACCTAATGAATGCAGCCACCTCTGTCCCCTCACCTGGGCCCACCAGACCACCCTTTGACCTTTGACTCCTCCCACATAGGATGCCACGGTATGCAGATGCCATCTTCACCAACAGCTATCGGAAGGTGCTGGGCCAGCTGTCTGCCCGCAAGCTGCTCCAGGACATCATGAGCAGGCAGCAGGCGTAAGCAGAAGTTCTAGGAATTTCTTTCCACACTGCAACTGCAGCAGAGTTTGGAGGGACCAGCTTTGGTTTCTTCCTCTGCAAAGCATCTGTCATTTCTGGACTTCCCGTAGCAGAAGGACCCCAGTGTCAAATCTCAGCTTACCTCTAGCTATTAAATGGCTGTTGAACACTTGTTGTGTGCTTCTCCCTATGCTGGGCTCCAATAGTAACAACACTGATGGTAGTTACCAGTAGATCGTTACTCTGTGCCAGAAACAAAGGCTGTGCGTTGGGATATTTACATGCACTTGGCACAGTGCTGGGCACAGTAAGCCCTTGGTAGTGTTAGCCATTATTCCTCATTTCCTATTTGCTCTAACAACCCTATAAAGCAGGACTCTTACCCCCATCGTCTGGGGCCATTTATAGCTTCTAAAGGACACACACCAAAGAGTGGCAGATCTGGGGTCCAAGCAGCCAAACTCCACAGCCCGTCCACTTTTCAGTTTTCATTTTGAAAAAATTTCAAACTTACAGAGAAGTTGCATCAATGGTACAAAGGACTTCCCCATATACTTCCCTATATTCAATAATTTCTAACATTTTTATCATATTTGCTTACTCATCTATAGCTATAGCTAGATATAGACCTATACATACAAACACATGTGCACATTTATTATTATTATTATTATTATTATTATTATTATTATTGCAGAACTACTTGAGAGTAAATTGCAGTCATCATAACCCTTTATCCTTAAATACTACTGTGGGTGTCTCCCAATAGCTAATGAAAGGACATTCTCTTACATAATCACAGTATAATTATCACTTAGGGTCCCTATTAAAATGTCAGCAGTTATCCCAAAATGTCCTTTATAACAGGTATTTCTTTTCCTGATTCAGGATCATGGGTTGTATTTAGTTGTCATGTCTCTTTAGTTTTTTTCATCAGGAACAGTTCCTGTCTTTTAGTCCTGACGAATTTGTTTAGTAAAGTCCAGTTGTTTATAGACTGTCTCTCATATTGGACTTGCCTGATGCTTCCTCACGATTAGTAGAGTCAGAGTAAGCAACAGAAGTGAAGTGTCCTTCTCAGTGCATTGTCTTAGGAGACACATGAGGTCGATTTGACCCATTATTGGTGATAACTTTGATCACTTGGTTAACATGGTGTCTGCTGGGAGAAAAGTTAGTATTTTCCCTTTTGTAATTAATAAGTAATCTGTGGGGAGATATTTTGCAAATGTCTATTTTGGAGCCTCTACTCTTCACTACATATATACTGCTTTCCTAAATGTTGCTGAATCTAATTCAGTTGGATTAGATACCAGATGTCAGAAAAGGGACACACCCTGCTCTGCTCATTTTGCCCTGGCCCTTCCCAGGCCTCTCCACATCCTACCCAAAGAGCAACCTCAGCTGTTTCTCTTTTTCTAATGGAATAGAGAGAGAAACGAGGAGCAAGGAGCAAAGGTGTTGCTTGGGCGTCAGGTGGACGGCATGTGGGAAGACCAAAAGCAGATGGCATTGGAAAGCATCCCGGCAACCCTGTCGCAGAAGCTCAGGTGGGAATACATGCATGTGTAAGTGTATGCATGTGTACGTGTATGGGTGTGCATGCACATGTGTGTATGTGCATATCTAGGGAGCTCCGAGGCTTCCTTCCCTAAGGATCAGCAGGAAGAGGAAAGAACCTCCTCCTCTCCAAAAGCATGGGGCTCTGCCAAGCCCTCCTGACACACATCAGGAACTGGAGGAAGGGGAGAAAATGTGTGATAGCGACTGAATCTTATCCACTGCCGTGTCTCCATGTGTAGCAAGGGGCTGGGCTCAGCGTCTGTGTCCAAAAACATAACTCACTCAATCGTTCTGGGATAGGACCCAAGAACCTGAATTTTAACAAGTGTCTGGGGCGGGTCTGTTGGGTGTGATCTGAGAGGTGTGCTCTGGGTTCCTTGCCAAGCTCACAAAACTATAACGTCAAAGGAAGACAGCCCTTCCCAAAACCCTCAGGTAGACTAGTGTGTGCAGCACTCAAGCAGGGGAGAGAGGGGAATGACACCTCATCTCACTGACCCTCACATTCCCACTGGGAGTCAGGGAAGATGAGGAATGAGTTTTCCCATTTTACAGAGGAGGAAAACTGAGGCAAAGAAGGGGCAGCAGCTGACTCCAAGTCAGGGACTGGCAGGCCCAACTGAGACCTGCTGCTTCTCTTTAGTTTCTTCACAAGAAGCCCACTTAGCGGACAGTTTCCCAAGAATGACACGACTGTTGGGAGAAACTCTGCTATATTTTTTAGGCTGATTTTCAACTGTGAGCACAAATGTGTCTCAGCATGACTCTGCCAGGCACTTCTGGACCTAGTAAGCAAATCCAGTTTCTCCATGTGCCCTCTTATCTTCCTTCCAACCTAATTAGACACCAAGAGCTCAGAGATCTCACCAATCTCAGTCCTGTGGAGATACAAGCAGCAGCAGGCTGATGGGCAGCTGCAGGAGGGGTGAGAACCAGGATGGGAGGCAGGATGCACATCTAAGTCCCAGGTCTGGTTCTGCAGCCAACTCACTGTACACAGCAAGCTGGCTGCCTTATTTCTTCCTCCGTGAAAGGAGGGGGTTAGCACTGACCACCTCTAAGGTCCCTAATGCCTCTAAGAATAATGCCTACCTTGTGCCTCTCATGCTGGGATTAGGTCATCATTCACCTGCTTTATGGCTCCCACAAGGCCCAGTAGGGTGGAGTGGCCCCAAGGAGGGCCGAGTCCTAAGAATGCAGGCTTTGTTCCTGCAGGTTAAAAGCCAGAGGCTTCACAGAGCTCAAATTCACAGAGCAGCAGGAGGGGCCTGGAGGCTGCTATGGCCATTGTTCCCCCTCCAGCTCAACGGCTGCAAATACCAGGGTATCACTGGTGGGCCTGGGAAAACATAAAATAAGAATAAGTTCTTCCACCTTGATAGTGCAGAGTCAAATGATTTGGCAGATGGCACACTTTTGCACCCACCACCCTTCATGTCCACCTAACAGCCCTGTAAGGAACTGAGGTTCAGATTTGTCTGTCCTCCTGGCTCTTAAAAACATCCAATGCGTGAGGGGTAATGGGGGGGATAAGGACACATTTGTAATACCTTAACTAATAAAGAATTAAAAAAAAAAAACATCCAATGACTTTTATGTGCCAGTCTCTGAGCTGAGGGAATAGCAGGGAAAAGGACAGCAGTGGTCCCTGCTCTCATGGAATTCATAATGCAGTGAGACAGACAAAACTTAAACAAGTACTTGTACAGTGGATTATTTAATTTGTGATAAATGGTATGAGACATAAGGGGTAGGGTGAATGTGTGTGGCAGAAGGAATACCTAAGCTAACCCTGCAGTGACTTCAAGGCAAGTGATCAGCCTGGGATCTCAGTGGAAGAAGATTAGCAGAACTGGGGCTAACAATGAGGTTCTTTTTAAAATTTATTTCATGGCATTTGTTTTTGTCTGTCTGACTTATTTTACTTAGTATAATACCTTCTAGAACCATCTATGTTGTTGCAAATGGCAAGATTTTATTCTTTTTTATGGTTGAGTAATATTCCATTGTATACATGTACCACCTCTTATTTATCCAACGACCTACTGATGGGCACTTGGGTTGCTTCCATATCTTGGCTTTTGTAAATAATGCTGCAATGAACATAGGGGTGTGTATATCTTTTTGAATTCATGTTTTGGATTTCTTCAGGTAAAGACCCAGAAGGGGTATTGCTGAGTCATGGGGTAGCTCTATTTTTAATTTTTTGAGGACCCTCCATACTATTTTACATAGTGACTGCACCAATTTACTATCCTACCAACAGTGCACAAGGGTTCTCTTCTCAAGAATGAGGTCCTTTTGGGACCCAGACAGTCTTAACACTGGAACATCCATCCCCCTGGTTTCAACTGTCCATGCCCTAACCTGCCCTTTCTTCAGTCCCCATGATTGAGCTTGTTCTTTCTTTCTGCAACAGGAATTCCCAAGGATGAAGAGTCTGCCTGTGTTTTATGCTGCCTGGAGCCAAAACACCATCCAGTTCATCCTATTTAATTTTTGACCTACTTTTTCTTTTATAAATACAATAAAATTCCCCCATCCTGGTCTGCAGTTTAATTTTCTTTAATCTTCCACCTAATTTGTATGTGTTTTACATAGTTATGTTTCCCAAAGTAGTATTACATGGTATAATAAAAAAAATAGCTAACATTTACCAGACTGGGCAGTACCACCTGGGCAGCTTCATGCCTAGAATCTCATATGCTCCTCACACAGCCCAAAGGGAGGCATTGGCACCCTTCTCATTTCACAGACAAGGAACCCAGGTACAGAAAGATTAACTGGATTGCTACGGTCACAGCCAACAAGGAGAGAGCTGGGATTTAAACCAAGGCAGTACAGCCCAGAGCCAGCCTCTTGACCATATTCTTCTACTCTGGGCCAAACTCATCCTTCATTCATTTGATGACTTGTTCGTCTATAAGCAGTATCATATATTCGTTCAACATATATTTATAGAGTACCTACTATGTGCCAGGCATTGTTTTAGGCACTGGGAATATAGTTCCAAACAAACAGACAAAGGCCCTGACCTCAAAGAGTTTATATTCAAATTAGGGAAAGAATAACAAAAACAAGTAAATATAGAATATGTCAGGTAGTGGCAATTACAAAGGATAAAGATTTAAGGGGGTGGGAATGCCAGAGGGCATTATTTTATCTATAATGTATACATGTGCTGTGTTGGTCAGGGAAGGCCTCATTGATAAGGTAACACTTGAGTAAAGGCCTGAAGGAAGCCGGGTGTTGGCCTTGTGAATATCTGGGTCAAGAACACTCCATACAGAGTGAAAATCCAACACAAAGGCCCTGAGGCAAGAGCAGGGAAGGAGGAATAATAAGGAGGTTAGAGTGGCTAGAACAGAAAGAAGGTGTTCGAGGAAGGGAAGGAGGCCCAGATGGAGCAGGAGGCCAGCTCATGAGGACCCTGCGAAGCCATGGTAAGGACTTTGGATCTCACCCTTGGTGAGACTGGAGTCATCACAGAGTTTAAGCAGAAGAATGACATGATGGGACCTGCATTTAAAGTCACTCTGAGATGGGGTCAAATTCTGAGTACATTTTTAAAAATATGTTTTTATTGATTTTAGAGAGGGAGAAAGGGACAGGAAGAGAGAAACATTGATCCACTGCCTCATGCACAGCCTGTACTGGGGATCAAGTTGGAAACCCGGGAATGTGCCCTGACCAGGAATCAACCAATCACCTCTGGATGCATGGGATTATGCTCTACCAACTGAGCCACACAGGCCAGGGTTCTGAATACATTTTTAGGGTAGAACTCATTTGGGGATTGGAGATGAGTCAAGAATGACTCCAAAGTTTCTCTGAATACATTTTTAGGGTAGAACTCATTTGTTGATGGATAGAGTATGGGGATTGGAGATGAGTCAAGAATGACTCCAAAGTTTTTGACTTGAGCAACTGAAAGGATGGAGTTGCCATTTAGGAGCTTAGTGGATGGGAGAGGAATTCGGAGATGGGTTAGACATGTGGAAGTCTAAGTGAGGATGTTGAGTAGGCACCTGGATATCCTGAGTCTGGAGACTGGAGTTAGGAGAGAGGTCTGGGCAGCCAGTTTGGTTTGGCAGCTGTCACATTTAGATGGTTTTTAAAATCAGGAAAGTGATTTAGATCATCAAGGAAAAAGTACGGAAAGAATAGAGAAGAGGTCCAAGAATTGAACCTGGGGCACCCCCACATTTAAAGTTTGGAAAAAAGATGAAGAACTAGCAAAGAAGACTGAGAAGGAGCAGGCAGTGAGCTACTGGGAAAACTACAAGAGAGAAATTTCAGAAGTCAACTGAAAAAAAGTGTTTCAAGAGGAAGAGAATGATCTGCTGTACAAAGTGCTGCTGAAGGGTCAGGTCAGTTGAGAACTGACCATGGAAGTGACCATGGAAGACACTGATGACCTTGGCAAGAACAAACTGGGTGGAATGGTGGAGGCAAAAGTCTGACATGAGGGGGTTCAAGAGCAAATGGTAGGAGAGGAATCAGAGCTGGCGAGTATAGACCTAGCTGTCCAATATGGCAGCTACTAGTCACAGGTGGCTACTGAATACTTGAAATGTGGCTAGTATGAACTGAGACGTGCATTAAGTGTAAAATAGACACTGGATTCCAAAGACAACATGAAAAACATAGCTCAAATTTTGTTTTATATTGATTACATGTTAAAATAATATTTTGGATATATTAGGTTAAATAACATTTTAAAATTTTCATCTGTTCCTTTTTTAGTTTTTTATTGTTGTTACTAGAAAATTTTAAATATCACCCACATGCTTTGCATTACATTTCTATTGGACACCACCAGTAGAGATAATTCTTTTATTTTTGCTATAAAAGGAAGATGTGAACTGAAGTCACTGACCAGAGGTACTTATGTCAGTGATTGTTTTGCTGGTGGAAATGGTGTTCTTTCACAGAGTCTCAAGAAAAGCGTGGGAGGATGAGGTCTGGTGGTAAGATTTATTTGGGTGGAAATAGAAGGCTACCCCGGGTTCCCAGTGTCTCATCTCCATCCATCCCATCATGGAAAAAGTCCAACCTTGTCTTTATCAGGCCGAGAAATAGAACGTGTCCAGACATTTTGCGCCATTGGTTTGGTCCATGTTAAAGCTTAGTCCATTCCAGTCTTTGTCTGTCCCCATCCAGCTATCATAGTCTGTTTCCTGCTGCACTTTGGCTGGTGCTGCTGTACCCAGGCTCACACTGTCTGTCATGGGCCTCAGGTGGCTGCTAGGGTCACATGGCTGCTATGGAGAGAAAACGCACAAGCCAACTGGGCAAGCACATGTTACAGGTGAGGGAGCACTTTGTTAAACTTGGGTTATATTATCTCCGGCTTGGGGAGGACCAGGTGGGCTTTCAAACTAACCAGTCAACTTCCCAATCATTTGGGGGCTTCACTGGGTTCTCTCCCTAACCAATACATTTCCTAAATCTTCCCTGGCGCGGGGCGGGGGTCTTTGTCCCTTATCCAATCCAATCCTTTTCCCAGGCTACACAGGCAGGCCTCTGTGGTTGCCATCTTGGCTTTTACTGTGCATGCCTCATAGAAGCATCTCCCCTGTGCCATTTTGGTTTCTACTGGGCATGCGCCCAACAGAGGAATTTTCCCTTTATTAAAGTTCTATCTTTCCCCCCAGTAATCTGCAGGGAACTGCCCTGGGGACTGTGTGAAGCTATAGCTCTCTAGTGAAACCGGCCCAATATTGGATTCAGCTTTCCAGATTATTAGGTTTAATAATGTTTGATTCCCATTGTTCCCTTCTTTTATTAATATCTAGCTACCTACACTAATATCATTACTCAACTTTTTCTATTTATGAATCATTTCACTTGGGCCAGATATTTCCACACATCACCAACCCTACCCTGCCTCTTATTAGAATCTGAACTTTCTAGGTGGATCAATATGTTATAACGGTGTCCTACCCTGCCTCTTATTAGAATCTGTGAACTTTCTAGGGGGATCAATATGTTATATCAGTGTCGTTAGAAGTAAAAATTCATTGAGCTGCACACTTAAGATTTGTACATTTTACTATAAGTATATGAAATATTTTTATAAAAATGTGAAAAGTCTGGATGATGGGATGTAAGTTTGATTAAAAGTAGAAGAATCACAGGTTTGAGTTGGTGGGGACTCAGAGATGAGCAATGCCACCCCCATCATTTTCCAGCTGGGGACACAGTCCTGTGAACTTCCCTGCCAGCACCAGAATAGAAAGCCTTGGTTCTTCACAGCAGCGGTCGCCAACCTTTCGGACCTCACGGACCACCAGTGGTCCACGGACCACCGGTTGGCAACCGCTGCTTCACAGGGTTTAGATCACCTGCTCTCCCTGGAAGCCCAGTTTACCTTCCAAGAAAGGATGTGAATCGTGGAAAAGCCTCGGCAAGGGGCCACTGTGGCAGAGGAGACAATATGAACAATGGAGAAACAAAAGCCCCCTCAAGAAAAAAAAAGGCTGGCCATTGAGGGCGGGCAGCTCACTTCAATCAAGAGCGGCAGACAGCTGAGAAACTGCCAAGGAACAAAGGAGGGGACTGCTGATTAGGGGACGCACTCAGGCCAGCCCCCAGCCCACTCCGTCCCCCAGCCCCACCTGCTCATCTCTTTCCTCCTCCTGTCACCACAGAAGCAAACACTAAGGGCTCTCTCAACTTCAATTAGTTTTTCAAATGAAATCGTGACCATTTGGGACCCGCTGCTACTTGTGGTTTTCGAGGTGAATGCAATTATAAAGGCAGAAACCATGATGGCAACAATTCCGGTGCTTTATCACCATTAACAACGACACTAATGGAGTCTTAAAAGACTTAACCCCTCTCCACAGAGGTGCTGGGAGCTTCCTGTCCCGTGGGGATCCTACTTAAGACCAAAAGCTATTTTTCCCCCTAAAGAAATGCCCTAATCAATGAGGGACTCGTCACTCTCAATGATAATCCCTTATGGTTGTATTGAAGTTCACAGAGAGGTTTCCCATGCATTATTTCATTTGCTTCCTACCACAGCCCTCAGAGAAAGGCAGAGCAGGGTGCAGGCCTCACATGGAGGTGAGAGGAGCAAAGCCACGAACTGATTCCTGATTCTAGGGTAGTGCTCTTTGTTGTTTCAAGACTCCCAGCCCCTCAGGAAATGTGAGCTGGGCAATCAAGTAAAATAAAGAACAAGCAAATGTACATGGACCTGTTATAAACTGGACCTGTTATAAACTGTTTCCTGGGCTCTGGCTAAAAGCACACAGGAAATAACAATAATACCTACACTAATCAGAGCAAACAGAGTCCATGCTAAGTGCCAGGCACTGTGGTATGTGCTTTGGGTGTGAGCTCAATTAATCCTTAGAAAGCCCTCAGAGGTATTATTCCCACTTTTACTGATGGGACACAGGCCCAGAAAGGTTAAAAAAAAAACAAACAAAAAAAATGTCTAAGGACACACGTGAATTAGGGAATTCAGAGTGGGTCAGTTGGACTCTAAACTGCTGTGCTTAGTGCTCCTTAGAGAAGGCCCA